AATACCCTGACGACAATGAGCAAGGGTGTGCAACAACTCCTGATGATGGCCCTTCAAGTGCTGCCCCAGGTGGATAGCAGCTCCAGATAAGCACTGTTACATCGTTACACTGTTACTGACCACCTTGCAAAACAGTCAGACCACAATGGGAAATTCCTCAATTGCCTTAACCTCTGACCAGTACTATAAAACCCTTCCCCTCCGCCCCTGGCAGCGCGACTCCTCTGGCCCCAACTAGGGACCAATGAACCTCGCCCTGGAGCTCTGAAATAAGCCTTTAAAACTATTTTTTGTCTTTGCCCTTTTTCTTTCTTTTTTTTTATTTACAGGAGAGAGCACAAACACAGTCCCGCACTACCACAAATTATGCAGTTTCCCGCATTGGGGGAAGTCGCAGGGGTCAGCACACCCACAGTGCAATGCAGGAGCCTCGCCCTGGGAAAACTACCTTTGGGATCATGGTGTCTCCCCTGCCGGGTAAGTATGCCCTTTTCTTTCTTTCCACTGCCAAATGACCAAATTTGCTTTTGGTTTGGATCATTCCACTGCCCCCACAGGGGGTGGTATTGCCTACTTTGGGAATCACTGATTTTGGGACATGTGGGTGTTCAGGATTTGTGCCGTGAACATACGGATGGATATGATGTTTGAGCAAGCACCAACTGTGCGCCTACTACTGCCAGGCTCTGGGTGGGGTCCTGGGACCAACCAGACTCACCGTGCCTCCTGGAGCTTACAGCCTAGTCCAGCAGGAATGGGGCAGGCAAGGCACTTTCTTTCACCTTATCACAAATAAGCCATGGGAGGAAGACAGCTTGACTGCAACCCAACTGGTGACCCTTGCACCCCAACAGCTCAGCCCTGGCCGGCCCTGCAGCCAACTCAGATTTTAGACCAGGGAGTGGGGCCCTGTGTGAACGTGGGCCTCTTGCTGACGTGTCCCTTACCCTCAGCCGCTGCATAGACCGTCAGGATGTCTGCGTGGTCAGCACTCCCAGGACGGGGCACCCCAGAGGAGCTGCCTGCAAGAGGAGTCAATGCCACTTACCTAGCATCCTGGAACCCCACTCGCCCCCTGCGAGGTCTCCCTACTTGTTTTGAATTGCAGTGTGTGGCCCCTGTCCACCCCAATTGGTGCTGAAGTCCCAACCTGTGGTGTCTGTGAATGTGTCCTTGTTTGGAAATGGGATCTTTGGCAATATTGTCAGTTAACATGAGGTCCCAATGGGGGAAAAACAAACAAACCACAGTTATCAGGTCGATTCCGAGCCGCCCTATAGAACCAGGTAGAATTGCCCCTATGAGTTTCCAAGATGGTAACTCTTTATAGGGGTAGAGAGCCTTGTTTTTTTCTCCATGGTGTGCCCAATGGTTGTGAAATGCTGGCCTTGTGATTGGCAGTCCAATGAGTAACCACTGTGCCACCAGGGTTCCTTAGCAGTATCCTTATACAGGAGACAGAGGGACCGAGAGGCAGGCAGAGGGAAGCACTCCTTGCCAAGCTGCAGCTGCAAGCCAAAAACAGCTGGGAGCCGGCAGAAATTGGGAGGGAGGGTTAGAACAGCATGTCTCAAAGCCACCAGAGGAATCACCCTGCTGACCCTGAGCTTGAACTCCTGGAGCTTGTGGTGCAGTAGGAGGCCAATACACTGTGTCTGGCTCGGCTCGGGAGCAGTGAAAAAAGTCACCCCCGCTGCCAGGGGTTGATTCTGGCTCACAGTAACCCTAAAAGACAGGATAGGAAGGCCCCTGTGGGTTTCCAAAATTGTAAGTCTTTACGGGAGCAGAGAATGCCTCAGTTTTCTCCCATGGATCAGCTGGTGGGTTCAAACTGCAGACCTTCAGATGAGCAGCCTATCTCATAACCAAGGGAAAACCAAGTTCAGTTGCCAGCTTTGCCCCCAACCCAAGCTGGGTGGCCACAGAAGAGTGATCTCACCTTCTTGCCAGCAGGACTCAAGTGGGAGAAGCTCAGCAGTTTAGGAAGCCTTGCCATTCCTCCTCGTTATAACAAGGAGATGCTTTCTGGAAGGTTCTCACTACCAGCGCTGCATCAGGCTTCAAGACACAGAACCCACCTTGTACATCAGCATAGACCTGGAGGAGATCGGCGTGGGAGGGGACCATCGGAGGTGCACGCAGCCAGCTCCAGAACCAGGAGAAGGCAGCAGGCCCCATGCCAGAGTCCCTGTGCCCTGGGGAGAAGCACAAGCTTCAGGGGTGGGTCCTGAGCCCATGTGAACTGTGGCATCCAAGTGAGCCCAGACTGTTGGGTTCAGGACAGGCCCACAGGCTGGAAATATCCAGAATGCAGGTCATGTGCTCAAGGACATGCAGGCAGGGAGAGGATAGCAGGAAGGTCAAGGAGGGCTGGTGGGAAAGTCAGGGCAGGCAGCTGTCCCCTGAGGCCAGGCCAAGTGAGTCTGCAGGTGACCCTAGCCCCTCTCACCCCCTCGGCAGGCCTGAAGCAAGAAGATCTTGGGGCAGCCCTGCAACACCCCACAGCGGCTCAGCTCCAGGACCAGGGCCTCTGGGTGCACCTCCTGTCCGTCTGTCCCCAGCAGCTGCCCCTGCCGACCGCCATGGGCCATGAGAGCCACCAGGGCACAGCTCACGGGACCTGTTCGGGCATCCAGCTGCTCCCGGAACTGGGTCACCTCTTCCTGGAATGCCTTGGGCAGGACAGGGGCAGAGATTGAGGCAGGAGAACCGAGAAAGGACTTCGAGGCTGGCAGGGCCAAGAGGCTTCCTCCGATCTGCGACCCTGGCTGCCCTAGTCCACCCTCCCACACCCAGCTGGGGGGGGATCCAAACACCCTGCTGCAGGGCTGGGTCAGCCTGACCTCTTTACTCATGGCTTCCAAGTCGATGTGGTCCCATAGCAACCCTGTAGGACAGGGCAGAAATGTCCCATAGTGTTGCCAAGGCTGTCAACCTTGACAGAAGCTGAATGCCCCATTGTCTCTTGCAGAGCCGGGGGGTGTTTGAACCAGCCACCTTTCCGTTCAGGCCAGCACTTAGCCAGACATGCAGTTCAGCCTCCCTCAATCAGTGTTCTCTGGCACCCTCAGGGAAACAGCCAGAAAGTTAAGAGGCTCAAAGAGAGAGCGGTGACTGATGGGTGTCCAGGAAGGAAATTGGAATGTTGAGAGATCAATCAACCTTGAGGGATCAGCTGGGGGCTCTGGCTGGCAGCCAGGGAACTAATGGCATGGGAGACCAAAGGGGCCTAGGATAGCATGCAGCAAGGAGAATGGAGGCTAGACTTCTGGGTGAACTCCTGCCCTCTACATCAGAACCCCCCTGCCCTCCAGAACTCCCCTCTCACCTGGGCCGTGGGGTCTGTCCTCACGGTGGTCTCAAAGCCCAGGGTCTGACATAGGTCTTCCAGAACTGCCATGTCACACTGGGCCCCAGGCCGGCCTTGGAGCACGGCCAGGAGGAGGGCCACCCGGGCCCCAGACAGGTCATACTGCGCCCCAGGACTGGACACCAGCTGCAGCGAGGGGGAAGGTTTGACCACAGCGGTCTCGGAGGAAGCCCTGTCCCCACCTTTGGGTGTCCTGCTCTCTGGGTCTCAGTCTCAGCTGCAGCCACAGGATTGGCAGCCACTTCCCGGTCCCACTCACCTCAGGCCTCTTAGCCTGCATGTCTCCCAGGTACAGCGCCCCCCGCAAGGAGCTGCGTAGGACTGGGCAGGGAATGGTTCCTGTGGGATCCTCGGTCACCCTGTGGAAGACCTGGGAGATAGGGCCAGAGGGCCCCTCAGGTGGCTGCTCTGTGGGGGCAGGGGAAAGCCAGACCCCCGCTTCAGGGAGTGATAGCCACAGCTGTCTCTTTGAAGTCATCCCCAAAACAGGGAGAGTGAGCAAACCAGAGAAAGGCAAGACGAGACGGATGGAACTGTGAGTCCCGTTTCGAGGTCACAGGCTGGGTTAAGCCTGGTGGGCAGTGTGCACAGGGTGGTGGCTCCCTAGGACAGGCTGACCTGGCACAGGCCCTTTGTAACAGCTCACAGAGTTGCCTGTGAGCCGGAGCCTGCGTGAACAGGGATGGGTGAAGGGCAAGTTGCTCCTAACTGGCACTGCTGACAACCTGTCGGGGGCTGTGAGGGGGTGCCATGTAGGATGGGAGGGGAGGATTAGGATGATTTCATGGAAGGAATGGGGGGCTGACCCAGGAGTGCCCACCTCTGTCAGCAGCCGCATCAGAGACCAGTGGGGACAACAGCCACTGAGTTCAGCCAGACCCTGGAGGAAGGTTCCAGGCTCCGCAGTAGCTGGGAACCAGAGAGTATATAGGTATGGGCTCAGGGAGCCCGTGGTTCTGCCCACTCCCTACCCCAGAGTCAGGGGTTCCTACCCAGTCCACTCACCCCCGGGCGCACTGGTCAACAGCAGGAGGAGCTTGGGACGGCCCTGCAGGGCCCCACAGTGACTCAGCTCCTGGGCCAGCCTCTGGGGCCGCCTCAGCTGCCCTCGGGGGATCACCAAGGCCACCAGTGCACACCCTATGGGGCTCCCGAGGGTGTCCAGCTGCTCCCGGAATCGAGCTACCTCCTCCAGAAAGTCCTGGGGGCAAGACCAAGACCTGCCTCAGGAGGGTGCTGGGCAACAGGTTTCAGGTGGTGGGCAAGGGCTCACCTGAAGGGAGGCCTCCCTCTGCTCAGGACGCTCAAAGCCCAAGGCCTGCAGCAGGCCCTCCAGGGCGGTGACAGTAGTGGCCGGCACTCCTGGGCTGCTCAGCATCAGGGCCACCTTGGGGCCCAACATGTTGTACCTTCCCTGGGGAGGCAAGGCCATGGTTGGGCTGGGCCGGGCACAGCCCGGAGACAGGGGGCACCCCAGGCCAATCCTCTTGCTACCATTCTGGCCAGGCTGTCCCAAGTGTCTGCCATCTGTGCGGCCACCCGCAGGGTCCCAGCCACCAGGAAGGCCATGGTCCAGCGAAGCTTCCTCAAGCTCCCCTCTGGCCCCGGCCCCGGGTTCCAACCCTTGCCCTCTTCCAAAGCTGAGTGCTATCAGCCCTGTTTATGGGCTGGGCTGGACTCTTGTCCCCTGCTCTTGGGAGCCCTGCTCCAGGGTACGTCCCAGTTGGTCCTATTCTTAGCTCCTGGCCCACTCCTATCTGATCTCATTACACCTGATTGCTCCCCCGGGAGCTGCCAACCCCGCAGGCTGCCTGCACAGGTCCTGGGCCCAAGGTGGGCAGAGGTATAGAGCCCTCAGGGTGGCAACAGTGGCCTGGAGGTCTCTGGCAAGCGAGGAGGAACCCATGAGAGGGAGCAGCCAATCACAGGCCCTGTACTAAAGGGCAGGAACATGTTGTCTCCTGCCACCCCCACACCGGGCTCAGGGAGGGGCTGCTTTTGGTGACCAGAGCCGGGCCCTGCACCCAACACAGCACCCACTGTGCAGGCCTCTACCAGGGTAGGGTGGGCTGGGTTTGGGCACATCTCCTTCCAGAGGTTGAAGGCAGGGGCAGACCTTAGACCTGAACACCTTATTGATGCTGCCACGGGGAGTTTCCAGGCCTGGGGAAGACTACCTGCCCGGCTGGAGTTCTTAGATGCAAAGCCTCCTGAATCCTGGCCCCCAGCCTTGTCATGCCAAGGAGGATGGGGTGATACCTGTTGTCCCAGCTGAGCTGCTTCCAGGCCTGGGTGCTGCATTCTTTGGGGCCCAGTGTCATGGGACTGCCAGGCCAGGAAGCCTAGGCCCACCCCCCCTCAAAAAGCAACTGGAGCCAGGTATTCATGTTTATTCAAGCCCTCCAATGCCCTTTGGGGACCTTGGCCCAGGGCCTTCCAAGAAGTCTGTCCCCTGCTACAAAAAGCTGCCCAAAATGCAGCGGCGATGCAGTGCCTAAGGGGCAGTTCTGCCCACTGGTTAGTGGGAAGCCCTCCGGGCGCAGCTGGGCACAGTGCTGAGAACCACAGGCAATGCCAGTGTCTCCAGGGCAGGGCAGAGGTCACAGGAGGAAGGGCAGGGCCGAGAAGTTCCTGTACCCCCACAGGGAAGCTGCCAAGACCCAGACCCTGCTGGGGAGCGGGGGACCGGAGGGCCACAAGGCTGCCCCACATCCTCCACCCACACTAGGAAGGCACTGGCTGGAACAGGCAAAGGGCCCGGCCTTGCATCCCCCAGAAATAGACCGCAGGCCAGTGGCTACAGCGGTAGTGAGCCCTGTCTGCGCCCCCCACTGCCCATCTATGGCCTCTGTGAGAAGGGAGGTGCGGTGCTGGGGTGCTGGACGGCTGTCCAGGTTCGGGTGGGAGAACCCTCTTAGTGGGAGTGAGTTCCGGTTGGCCGGCAGGGGCGCCAGCTCAGCCCACCGGCTGGGCCATCTTGGCGTGCAGGCTCTGGTGGGCGATGAGGTGGGCGCGCTGTTTGAAGCTCTTGTCGCACTCGCCACAGCCGAAGGGCCGCTCACCCGTGTGCACGCGCCGGTGGTCCAGCAGGTAAGAGCGCAGCGAGAAGCTCTTGCCGCAGTCTGGGCACGAGAAGGGCTTCTCGCCCGTGTGGATGCGCTGGTGGTCGGCTAGGTAGGCGCTGCGGCTGAAGCTCTTGCCGCACTCGGGGCACGCAAAGGGCTTCTGGCCTGTGTGCACGCCCTGGTGGCGCGCCAGGTCCGACGAGCTGCGGAAGCTGCGCTCGCACGCCTGGCACTTGTGCGGCTTCTCGCCCGTGTGCGTGCGCTGGTGGCGCGCCAGGTCTGAGCCCCAGCGGAAGCGCTTGCCGCACTGCCCGCAGCCGTGGGGCCGCTTGGCGGCCAGCTCCTGGAACTGCTGCCGGCGCATGGGGGGCCGTCCCCGCCGCGCCGCCCCCGCCCGCGGCCCCTCCCCGGGCCTGTTTTCGCTCTCCCAGCCCTCGGCCTCTTCGGAGCTCCAGAACACAGCCGTGTCACCGCCGGCTGGGTCAGGGGACGCTGCTGCTGCCGCCGCCGCCGCCGCCGCCTCCTCCAGCTGAGATGGCTCGCTCTGACTTTGGAGCCCTAAACCTGCTGGGGGAAGAGGAGGGGGACTGAGTCTCGCTGGGTTTGGACGTCCACAGCTGACCCTGGGGTAGCTCCTGGGTCAGAGTGGCCTGAGCATCAATGTCTCCCCCACAAAATGACTGCAGGTCAGGGCAGTCCTGAGCTTACAGCCGGGTAGGATACCAGGGGCTTTGGCAAGTCACCGGACCAACATCCTGTCTCTGTTTCAACTCCCAATATCGGAAGCCCAGCTATTGGAACTCCCAGACAGAGGACTGGCTCTCTTCGGCAGGGTGGGAGGAAAACGTGGAACACAATGTAAAATAAGAGGTCCAGGCTGGCTAGACATGTGGGCTGAGCAGGTGTGGGGTGTGGATGTACAGCCAGGAACCATACTTCCAGGTTCCATGGAGGATATTTGTAAATGCTGCAAACATGTCCATGACTGTGGTGGGACATACAGGTGGCAGAGTTAAGAAAACTACTTAGACATAACCAAATACCTTTAAGGAATGAGTACTGGGTCTGGGGACTCAGGATCGTCGTCTCGGGGACCCCAAGGTCAGCTGGCATAACTTGGTTCCCAAAGACAATGGATTGCATCTTGTTCTGGCCAAGTCAGAACTGGAGCCTTAGAAGCTGGTGAGCAGCGATCTAAGGTGGAACGATTTGCCTCTCCCCATCCAGAGGGAAGATGAGAGATGAAAATCAAATGACTCGTGGAAACAATTGGCCCAATGGATTAAAGACTATGCAAACATCAGTTTTCACAAGCCTGAGACCTAGATGAACCAGATGGTACCCAGCTACAGTACCAATTACTTTGAAAGGATTTCCACTAGAATGTACTGGATAGAGTGGGAGAAAAAAGTGTACCAAAACTCAAAGTTGTTAAGAGACCAAGCTTATTGATTGGCTAGACTGTTGGACAACACACACCCCAGACTCTGGTCCTGTCAGTCCTCATCAGGCCTGGAACTGAACTCACCCGTGTTAGACTAACCGTCCATTTAAAATCAGGGACAAAGCTGAGTCTAGGTAAGGAGGAATGGAAAGGGGGAACCCTGGGAGAATGTAGGATCAGGAATAGCACACTGAGGGACTGACCTGGATGGGATGAAATAAAATGTGTACCAGCTGCTGAATGTAAACTGATGATCTGATAGGTGTGGGGGTGGGTGGGTGGAAAACATTAAAGAACTAGAGTTAAGTCGTATGTTTCATTGGTACTATACTGCACCCTGACTGGCTTGTCTCCTCCCGGAGACCCTTCTATAAGGGGATGTCCAGTTGCCTACAGATGGGCTTTGGGTCCCCACTCGGCACTCCCCCTCATTCACAATGACATGAGTTTTTGTTCTGATGATACCTGATACCTGATCCTATCAACGCCTTGTGACCACACAGGCTAGTGTGCTTCTTCCACGTGGGCTTTGTTGCTTCTCAGCTAGATGGCCGCTTGTTTATCTTCAAGTCTTTAAGACCCCAGACGCTATATCTCTTGATGGCCGGACACCATCAGCTTTCTTCACCACATTTGCTTATGCATCCATTTACATTTGCTTATGCATCCATTTGTCTTCAGCGATCATGTAGGGAAGGTGAGCATCTTGGAATGCCAGTTTAATAGAAAAAAGTATTCTTGCATTGAGGGAGTACTTGAGTGGAGGCCGAATGTCCATCTGCTACCTCAATACTAAACCTATAAATATATGCACATAAATCTATTTCCCCATCCTCATATATAAAAATATTTACATGTGTACATGTCTATATTTAGACCTCTATAAATGCCCTTGGCCTCCTAGTTGTTTTCTCTATTTCCTTTTACTTTCTTTGTCCCACTATCATGCTCAGCCTTCATTTGGGTTTCAGTAATTCCTCTGTTACATTGCCCTTGATAAAGCCCTACCATGGCCTCCTACACCCTCCTCACCAACGTTTTTGGATCACTTGTTGTTCCCTTGTCCCCGGGTTTATTAACACCCACTTCCTTTCCTCCCCCTCCCCCTCTTCCATGTCCCCCAGGAATCGTCAGTCCTGTTGTTTTCTCCTCCAGATTGTTTATCCTGCCTATCTTATTTAGACAGACCTGCAGAGATAACATGCACAAAAACAAGACATAGCAAAACAAAGCAACAAAACAAAACAAAAACACCAAAAAACCAATGACAAGAGAAAGGCCTGTAAATAGTTCAAGGTCTGTTTGTTAACCTTTAGGAGTGTTTTCCTGTCGAATCTGATGGGTGCCACACCCTGCCTCAAAGTCTATTTTGGTATTCCCTCGGGAATTCCTTGTTCTGTCCCCCTTGCTGTTCTGTTGCATTTCTACCTTACAAATCCAGCTAGACCAGAGGATGTACACTGGTACAGA